TCAGCTGGATTCACGGACAGGGTTTAGACCCCACTTATTGATGCAAGAAGTATCCAAGAATTTGCAGCCATTTTCCGCCCATCACACTGTGCGTGATCTTCGTAGAGACCACTGTTCACATGCACAGTTGATGTTTTCACATTTCATGTTTGTTTAATCTCCTAACTGTTCTAAGTCAGGTTATACTCACTCTTCATGTGGTAAAATCAGCACTCAGAGAGGTTAGGGCTTTTGTTCAAAGCTACACAGCTAGTGAACTATGAATCTAGGATTTGAGACCATGGCTATCTCATTCTGAAGCATGCTCCTCCTAGGACACCATCCTGGAAAAAAAAAAAGAAAAGAGCCAGTTCCTGTTGCTACGAGATGTCTAGAACTGCTCCAGAAACCTTGGAAATGTTGTTAAGTGTGAGGCATCTCTGCCCACACCATTGCAGGCCCTCAGGATGCGGTAACACAATGGAAGTAAGGTCTTTCTGGGCCCAGGGTCCTCACCAGGAGCATCGCTTCAGTGCTAAGCCCCCCTTTCCCCATCCTGCAGTCCTGGGGGGCAGCCAGGGCCCAGATGTACTTGCTGGTACTGTGACTGGCATCACCAGCTGTGCCCACCTCTGCAGGAAAACTGGCTGCTGTCCCTGGAAGATAAGTCAAAATCTGGCCTTTGAGGCTCTTCTGCTTGGTCCTTCCTGTAGCAGCCTGTGTTGACTCTTCTCTATGCACTAAATCCAGGTGACGTCACTCCATCGGTGGGACCTGGAGAGGCAGCCACACTCCCAGAGTGGTGAGGCGCCATGCCGCTGGCCTCTGCTGCCCCTTCCCCTGGGAGCCTCCGTAGCCTCTGAGCTCCACCGCCAGGTGCTCCCTCCTTGCTTGGCTGTGATGATGGTTCCGCTGCCCTCCCCCTCCTGCCTCCCCCCCCTGGGTCTGGCATGTTCAATTCAATTCCCTCAGCAAACACGTGCCCAGTGCCCAGATATCTGTCCTAGGCGTGGGAGCAGCACACCTGCATGTGGCAGGAAAGTGGAGAGAGCCCTTAAACGTCATTTTAGTTCTGTGGATTTATTTTACAAGAGACTCTGACGGGCAGAGAGGGGAAGGAATACACCAGGATTCCGTCCCAGAGCCAAGCATCCCTCTGTTCCATGGGGGCAGCTTCCTAAGCCCCTTGGACCCTGCTCTCAAGCTGGTGGGGTTGGGGCTGGAACAGTCAGCAAGGATCCCCGAGGGCGGATCATTGGGGTCAGCTGAGCACCATGCTGGGAGAGGGCAGTGGGGTGCTCCTGGGATGCCCCTCTAGACCTCTTGGGGGGGGGGTGTTTGATGAGCCGGAAGGAGTTGTTGATTCCTGCTCTTAGTTATTCTTTATTGCTAATCTGCACAAAGAAACGTTAACGATTTTGATGATGGGGTTGGGTTAATACATCATGTAAATGATTTTATTTGGAAAATGCAAACTACTTGCCTCTGCAGAAAGGCTCTGTCTCATGGCCCCCCTCCCCCAACCTGCTTGCCTCGCTGGGCAGGGGCAGGGAGGAGGGAGCCCCTCACCCCGCCCTCCACCCTGCTTCTGGGGACCTACATCCTGCCAGGCAACCTGCAGTCCACGTGCCCCACCACGTGGAGGCCCCAGGAAAGCCCCGTCCCCTTTCGGCCCCAACCTGAACCAGCCCCAGGATGAAGCCCAGGGAGAGAGGCAAGTTCCCTAGGGCTGCCGGCTCCCCCAAGTCGTCCCCATTCCTTCCCGCCGGCTCTTGGACAATTCCCGCCAACAGAGCTGATTATTCCTCAATTTGTTCCAACCTGAAAATAAAGACAGATAAAGTAAAAATATTCCGGGAACAATGCCAAGCCAAAGGCATTAAATTATTAAGCGATCTCTATCTGAGTAATGGATTTATGCCCTTTAACAACTTTAAAAGAAATATAATGTTTTTCAATACCCTCTTTTAGGGAACTTCTTATAAATGAACTGTCCATTTTATTAGTATTAAAGGAAACGGGGATTGAATCAGAGCTTCTAGGGTGGGTGATTATCTGCAGATTTCTCCTTAGAGCTGGGAAAATTAACCACGTGGAATAATCCACACATTTTTTTAAAGGGCACTTTACAAGATATTGTATAGTAAATTGGAAAATGTATAACTATCCATCAAGGTTAATCTTGGGAATAAAATAATTAGAAACCATGCAACCATGGCCAGGGAAGATTAGCGCTAAAATTAGACTGTGTGGCTGTGTTTCGATGTCACTGGCGTGGGTGCTGGTGGCAGGATGGGTCAGAAAGGTTCGTTGGCGCTGAGCTCAGGCGGGACGTGGACCTGGGGAGACCCACTCGCGTGGACCTGTGGGGGCTGTAGGGGGCACCAGGGGTTAGATCTGGGGAGGTGAACACGTTGCTTTGATGGGATCTGGCAGAGCCTTGGTTTTCCCTCCCTTCCAGTGACCCGGGCTGTCTTCACCCAGCCTGGCACGCATCTTCCCTGCCTGTGCTTCCAGATGGCTAGAGGCTCTGTGGTTGCCACTAGAGAGCCAGATGGATTCCTTTGGAGGGGTCAGGGGACAGGGAAGAGGGGAAGAAATACTCTTGTTGTGAAGTCTAGAGAGAAGAGTGTGTGTGTGTGTGTGTGTGTGTGTGTGAGTGTGTGCGCGTGCGTGGGTGTGAGCTAGTGGGTGGGGTGTGGCTGTGTGTGTACTGCCCTCCCGGCTGAAAGGCCTACGGTTTCTGCTTCTGCCTGGAGCCTCCTGACTCCTGGCACCCAGGGAAGGGCTGCGGGCGGGTGGGGCGGGTGGGGGTCAGCCACAGCGTGCCAGGGCTGCTTCTGCTCTTCCTGCCGCAGCCTCCGCCCTTGGCGGCTGCTCCAGGCCAGTGGGTGGGGTGGGGCAGTGAGGAGGGGTCCTGCCAGGGTGGAGGAGGCAGGAGAGGCCCAAGAGGCTGCCCCGCCCATGGGCAGTGAGGCTGCCGGCCCAGAATCCTCTCCCAGGGCCAGGCCCCCGTGTGCCTGGGCCAGGCATGTCACCTCCTCCCACCCGTGAGGCTGCGATGGGCATTTGCTCTAGGGGCCGGCCCTCCACAAAGCACCCGTGGCCAGAGCTGGCCACTGTCCTTGGGGCTCATGCAGTTACCCTGCCTGGGGTACAAAGGAGGAAACAGAGGCCCACCAAGTGACATGTGGGGTGTGAGGGAGGCTGCTGCTTGTGTCATCGTGACTGTGCCTCTGTTGACTCTGGGGTCATTGGGCAGGGCCGTCCCCTGGCTCAGGAGCCAGGGTGCTGAGCACACTCCCTGCCCAGCTGGCCTCCCTCGAGGCAACCTCTCCATTCAGGGACCAGTGGGCACCTGGTGGCCCCCCTCCCCAATCTCCCTGGTGCCCCTCCTTTACTCCACTGCACATCCCGAGGCCATTGGAAGGTGCTCTTCATAGGAACAAGCAACTGCCCCTCAGTTACATCTCCTTGTTCTCCTCCCTCGCTCTGAGGCGGAGGGGAGAAGGCAGGGGACAGTTGCCACATGTCCCAGGCTACACCTTTACTTTTTCTAACCTCCCAGCCTCAGTTCCTAGAAAGCCAAGACCATTCCAGCAATTTCAGCTGAAGATCCTGATGGTAAGCAGGAGTTAGTGAAATAGGTCCGCTGTTTCACCAGGGTCTGCAGATTCAGAGAGCCCCTGGACGGTGGTCCGGTTACTCCCTGTTCCCGAGAGGCTCCGGGCTGTCATAATGGTCAGGTTAACAGCAGCGGTAGCCAATGGCAACACCAACAATCACTTTTCCTGGGATCATTTAAGTTTCCTGTGGCAAAGGGGAGACTAGGAGCAAACGGATGGATGGAACCCAAATCTAATCCAGTGCTGGCAGAGGCCATTCCAAGGACAGCATGGTCCAGCTCCTCCTCTGTGACTAGAGAACGGAGTGTCGAACCTAGCTTACCTGCCAGCCCTACCTGGAGGCATGGTGGGAGAAGTCAGGGGAGGAGGGAGGTGTGTGGAGGCGCTCTCTGCAGGGCCAGGCTGCAGGAAAGTCAGCAGCATGCCAGTGGGCACACATCACCCCTCTCTTCTCAGTGGTAAACAGGATAGACGGTAGCCTTTCAGTTCCCGGATGTTTGCCCATATAGCTTTGCCAGGGGCACTTCTGAGGGTGGCCATCCTTGGGGCTGGAGACAGAGAGGTAGGGCTCATTTGTAATCAGGCTGGAGGCCAGCTGGACTCAGAGGCCCTCTTGGTGGACGTGTCCTGGCCACCCACTGTGGGTGAGGCACCCTGCAGCACCCTGGGTGGTGCAAAGGTGTGTCAGGCATGGCCTATCCGCAGGTGCTCCAGTGCAGGTGACCACAGAAGAGGCATGAACATACAATGGAAGAGCCCTGGCCCTCAGCTTTCTACTTTTAAAGGAGGAGATGGGCCTTGGAGGGCTCATGACATGACATATGAGGCCATGACTGTGACATGCATCCTCTGCTCGTCCACAACGTAGCATCATGATTGACATGTCCATGCTTAGGACTGAGAGTTGGGAGAAAATGAAAACCAAACTGGATGGAGGAGAGCCTTCGGGGATTGTCCTTGTCCAACAGCCTGGGACAGAAGAGTTTGGTGGACACCTGGGAGATGCTTCCTGGATGGAGGGATCTACCTGTGTCACCTGTCTGCAGCTGTGTACCAGCCCCAAAACTTCGTGGGTCGAGACAATAATCAGTTATGTGTTCCTGCTTTGTGGTTGGCATTTGGGGCGGGCTGCACTCAGTGCCAGTTCTGTGGCCCCGTTTGGCAGGGACAGCCTGATGTGGCTGGGCTTCTCTTGGTGTCTCTGATCCCCACTGGAGCCAGCTGTGTTTGCGTGGTGCTGACGCTCTGTGAGGGGGAGATTAGAAGCTGCAGGAGCCCGGAAGTTACAGTCACTGCAATATGCTGTGTTTGGATCTGGAACATCTAAAAAGGCCATGGTGTGAGGGGCTTGGTCCCCAGCCCTTGGGAGGTGGGGGGACATTTGAGAGGTGAGGCTAGTGGGATAATTTCCCACGAGGTCATTGAGGCTGTACCATGAAGGGAATTATGGGACCCCGGACTCTTCTTCTCCCTCTTCTTTGCTCTGTGGCCATGAGGGGGCCTCCATCCTGCACTTTCCCTGCACCATGTGGCCTCACACTGGCATATGAGGCCAAGCCAGCACAGACGGAAACCTCCAAAACTGTGAACCAAAACAACCCTTTTCTTTTTATAAGTTGATCAACCCAAGTATTTGTTATCATGATGCAAAGGTGACTAACACACATGGCATGCTGTTGCTCAAAGCGAGTCACAAGACCAGCCTACGTTCAAGGGCTGGAAAAACAGATTCACCATCTGATGAGAGGAGCAGCAGAGTCTCATTGCAAGGAGGCCGTGTGTGTGGATCACAGCAGGCATCACGGCAGCCACGGCCGAACCAGCAACCACGCCACCGGAAGCAGACCCGCTTCCTTATTGTCTAATGCACCAGGCAGAGTCTCCAGGGGTCTTGGTCACTGGGCTGGCTCATTCTTGCCCTCTCCCTCTCCCTCTTTCTTACCCACTCTCCCTTCCCTTTCTAGAACTCTAACAAAGTCAGGTTAAGCTATCAGATGAAGTGGATGACATTTGGCCAGTGGAGGAAGTAGATTTTGCGTGGGGACTGTTGACACTCAGGCATGCACATGTGTGTAACAGGGAACAGGCACGTGCTCTGAAATCATGGATGCTAAACCACCCGGGGCATCTGGACTGGGAAGAGAGGAATCGGAAACATTACAGAGGGGAAATTCTGCAACCAGTGGACAGACTGGTGTTTAGCTGATGAATAAACTTTAAGCCACTAAAATACTTTAGCAATTTGGATGGAAGAGTAGCTGCCTTGGAGTTAACTGAGTACTGAGAACCCAGTTCAAAGACCTCAATACAGGCTCCTTAACTATGTGCCGGCTGTTTAGCTATCGCTTATTAGGCATTTACTGTGTGCCTAGCGCTGTGTGAAAGGTGCAGTTTTTTTAGTCATCATGGAATTCTTGGCAACTCTGAATGAAAACTCGGATCTTTCCCAATTCATGCCTGGGAAAAGGCCTGGCCAGGTGAACCCCCTCGCCCTTGGGGAGTCTGAGTGGCGTTGTGCTGGAACCTGGCTCTGACAGGCAGAGACCCTCCATTGTGCCTCATGCTGAATGTTCCAGAACACTCCGTTCTAGGCCTGGGTGGCCCTAGTGAGGTGCAGAGAGCTCTGATGGCTCCGGCTGCTATGTGAGCCATTTCCTGTCTGCAGTCCCCTCTTCATCCTCTCCCAAGGGAGGCCCTCCCCGTCCTCTCCAGCCTCTGTCTGCTCTTGGCTTCTTTCTGTCTTGGACTATCCACGGCTCCTTATGTGGGCAGTTCTTTCTTCCCATGCTTTTAGCTCTCGTTGGTTTTGTTAATCAGATTTTGTGTTTTTGAGGGTTTCCGCCCCCCTTTGGTTCTAGATTTGTGATTTTTGTGGAGTTTATGGTTGAGAGTACTGCACTGTGAGCTCTGGTAAACTTACACCGAGACAGTGTATTCAGATGCTAGCAATGAACACCGGAGACAACTGCGACAATGTTGACTTCAATTTCAAAGTTTCTTTCTTTCTTTTTTTTTTTTTTCCTTAGCTGGGCGTGGTGGCACACACCTGTAATGCCAGCACCTCAGGAGGCTGAGGCAGGAGGATTGCAAGTTTGAGACCAGCCTCAGCAATTTACTGAGGTTCTAAGTAAGTTAGCAAGACCTTGTCCCAAATTAAAAAATAAAAAAGGCCGGGGATGTGGGATGTGTCTCAATGGTAAAGCACCCTGAGATCAATATCTACTACCAAAAAAAAAATAAAGAACATTTTTTTTTCTTATGTAAGGAAAACCTTTATGTGGGTAGTTCAGGGCTGGTATGAAATATCCATGGTTATCTGGACCTTCAATTACTCTATTCTACTGTTTGTACCTTAGCACCTTGGTGATCCAAGATGGCTGCTATTGCAACTTTTAAAGGGCTTCTTTGAGATCCTGTTCAGAAACTGCTTTAGATATTCTGTTAGCCACTTTCATCTTCAAGATTGTCTGGGAAATGTAAGATAGGTAAATCACCCAAGTCCATAAGTCATAAGAGGTTATAAGAAAACAGCAGTGTCTAAAGCAGATCCTCCTCCTAATACCCACCTGTTGGGATGGTCTAGAGGCGAGAACAGGCAATGCTCCCATTTTATAGGTGCAGAACTGAAGGCTAAAGGGAGTTATGTGACTTGTTCAAAGTCATTGTAGCAGAACTAGGACTAAGACCTGGGATTCCTGGCCACGTCTTTGTAGGACCAACCTATTAAAGAACTGAGTTTTGCCAGGGTATACTGTGGGGTGTACTCCTGTAATCCCAGTGGCATGGGAGGCTAAGACAGGAGGACCTCAGTTCAAAGCCAGCCTCAGCAACTGTGAGGTGCTAAGCAACTTGGTGAGATCCTGTCTCTAAATAAAATACAAAATAGGGCTGGGGATGTGGCTCAGTGGTTGAGTGTCCCAGGGTTCAATCCCTGGTAACTCTCCCCCCCCCCAATAAAAGAAGTAAGTTCCTACACACGCACCCGCACATGCACCCCTGAGACTGTGAGGGTCTGTGATAAGGACCATTGCAATGAGCTCAAGTAGAGGAAATATTCTAGATCCCAGAAGTCCCCCCCACTCACAGCCGATTTTCCTGTGAAGCTCAGTTAATTGGAGGCATCTCTGTTCACCATGTGCTGCTCGCTAGCTGGACATGGGAGAAGCCCTGGAAACCCAGACTGAGGTCCTTGGGCCTCTAGCAGGTGGGAAAAATCCTCGCCTGGATCCTGACTCCTCTGTCCTTGTGTGGGAGCCTTTAATGAGGCACACCTGTCACCCACAGGTCAGGGAGCTGGCTCTGGGTCTGGAGGCTGCCCTGGCCCTGTACTTGCTGGCCCCCCTTGCCTCTGCAGTCCAGCCTAAGCCCTCCCCAGCTCTTCTGAAGAAAGCAAGAAGTTCTTTGCCTGAGGCCCAGTGTGTCGTCGCAGACCTTCCAAGGGCTGGGATCCTGCTGGCGATTTAGGCTTGGGATTTGTGGGTGTGGTGTTTTCAGACTTGACTGGCACAGAGCCTGGGCCTGGGGGTTGGTATCTTGGAATGCAGCTCAGGGTTGCCCAGCCCCAGGGCAGGGACTCTGCACCTAGATGTACTAGTCCCACCTCTGCCTCCTTCCCTCCCTTTGCAGTTTCCGGACACTTCCTTAGAACTCCTTCAGGGCAGAGGATGGGGTAAATGTCAAAGATCTGGTTGCCTGCTGGTGCAGCATGTAGGTGGAAAGCGGGGCTCGGTGTCCAGGGCCCTGGCGGCTTGAGTTCTGGGGAGCACCCCTTCCCGGCACAGACCCCGGGACCCGGGATCTCAATCGTCTGTGTTTCCTAAAGCAGCCTGCCCTCCCGCATCTGGAGGGGCAGTGAGGCCTGACCACTATCAGAGCATTGGCGTGGCATCACAGAGCAGGTCCAAGCCACCAAAGCCACCTGCACTGGCACCTGGCAAAGTGGTGCTTGGCTGGGGCGCCTTCGTCTGTCACCTCTGCACCTGGGTGTGCGCCTGAGTTGAGCAGGGTCCAGAAGGCTCACCAGGCCAACTCCACAGTGAGCGAACCTCACCGTGCTGACTGCAGAGGTTGCTGGTGCTGGCACCTGCTCGGCTTCGAGTACGTGAACTTGGGGAAGGCAGAGCCCCGGTTCTGTGG